AATAAATTCGTTGAAAAGAGATCCCTTCGCTGAACTTCGTGTTTTAATTTTAATGTTTAAATGGGAATTATCTGTCAACTATGATAGCAACTAATTATTATATGGATCTCATTTTGTGTACATAATTCCAATATATTATAATGAATGTCCTATAGTTATCAGTTCTTATTTCTAATTACCATTCAAATCTGATAATTTAAGCTCATACTTACAAAACTGATAAGTTGTTAGTTAAACAAATAAAGCAATCCATCTGATGAAACAATAAGGTTTAAGAAAATGATGAAATCAGAGATCATTTTTCTCTTAAATTATGTTTTCATCTAGAATGTTTTGATAGTTAAATACATTTTATCATTCATATAAGATGATATAAATATGGATTTCATTCAAATAGCTAACAAGAAATTCAAACTATTATATTTAGTCAGTCAGTCAGTCGTCTACAACATAGAACCAGGCACATACATGCATCAGTTCAAGTTGCCATACCTCATTAGCACAACAAGATAAATACCGAATTCATAAAGTAGCTAATTCAATTATGGTATTATATTAAAGAAAGATTATATATAAGGATATAGTACAGGAGGAAAGAATTAGTTCGTAGAAAGAAAGGTATGAATCGATTTTAATCTCATAGTTTAAGGGAAGACAAAGAGTGTATACACCTACACCATTGTGATCGATTCTGAGCCATGTCACTCAGAGTCTCCAACCATTGATTACGATAGTCACGCGGACCCCAACCAAATAGTCTGCGTCTACCAACATGGTTTGGACCAGAAGTTAGTGACTTCAAGGACTGATGCCACGTTTTGGTTTGGCCACCCCTAACTTTCCTCCAACCATCTCCAACACCGGTTAGGATTGCACGTCGTGGTATCGGTGTTCAGTCATACGTAACACGTGGACCAATCATCTCAGTCGATGAAAATTCACAACCTCATCAACTCATTTACCATCATTCCCCAATACCCTGCGTCTAACCTCACTATTACTTACCCGGTGATCCCAGCAGGTTCCTTTTTTGTTGTAGAGGAACCTTATTAAGACACTGCATCATAGAATCAAGGCTATATGCACTATGGATACGATTGAAGATGAAACAAAAACATTATTTAAAACCCTGAAGGGAAATGGATATCCGGAGAAATTTATAAATAAAAACTTAGCCAATAAAAGACAGAGTAGAGAATACCCAACGGTAAATAAAAAGCCTCTGTATATACGCTTACAATTCAGAGGCGACGCACCGAGTGAAATTTTAATACTTAAGTTATGTAGATCAATTCAAAGGACTTTTAATGCAGCTAAACTACAACTTGTATTCTCCACAAGACCAATAATCACTCCGAGGTTGAAAGATAAATTACCTAGACTAGCCACCTCCTTCTGTATCTATCAATTCAACTGCTCTTGTGGAGCAAGTTATATTGGCAGGTGTTCTAGGAATTTGTATATTCGGGCTCGTGAGCGCCTACCAGTGTGGTTAAGCAAAGGTGTTCTCAAAACTGTTAACGGCTCCATCTTAGACCATTTAGTCCAAACAGGACATACAGCAAACATGGAGCAATCTTTTACAATAATCTATAGTGTTAACAGCAGTCTACCTAATTCCGTCAGACTGCGAATCCTACAGACGGCTGAAGCAATTGCTATTCGGGTCAAAAAGCCAGAGCTTTGTATCCAAAAGAAGTATGTTCAGCCACTCCTTTTACCCTGGCCAACTAGCTAATAATCAGCCTTATAATGTGGTGACGTAATCTGATTAATGTTCATTTTATGTCCCAAGCTTATTATTATTATTATTATTATTACTATTATCGTCTTTACACTTGATAACCTTTTTTGAGGAATTTATTCAATATCCACCCCTGAATCTACTGTATTTGACCTAATTATTTTACATATTACGTAACTTCCGATTTGTAATTACAATATTCTCTCTCTCTTTCTTACCCCATGTTGACCATATTTATTCTGATAATTTATCTCACAATTTCATTTCACTTATAAACTGATTCAAGTTAACACTTCATATTAGTCATCCCAACATTAACGATTTTATTTATATAACAAACAATTCCTGATTCACATATTACAATTTCCAAATGATGTATTTTGCCTTAAATCTGGCCAATTTTATGGATTATTGTTTTGGATTTATATTTGTAGAACCTGATGAGAAATTATTGAAAAGAATATTCTTCGTCCATACAATTGTGTTTTAATATAATGGGAATTTTTCAGCGATCAATAAAATCAATTAGGAATATCAGTATACTTTTATAATTCAGTTCAGAATAATCAGTTTTTGCTTCAGTTCATTTACATATCTCAATCACCGTTTTATCAAGATTTTGGATATTGTGTTCATTGTTTCCTTCACCAATTAACAATTACTCAGCTTGTTGAGACATAATCTGTTGTATAAACTAAACGGTTTCATTTGATCGCGAATCTATTACAAGTAAATTTATGGTTAACTAATAGTCATACTTAAAGATAATATTAATTTCTAAGAAAATAGACTCATTGTTACTAAGTAAACGAAAGTGTCAAAAATTAAAATATACGTGTCTAGGATGAAGACTAGGGATGAGAAGTATAACGCTGAAGTTTTATATTTATTGCGGATATCTTTATGATTATACTTCATCTGACAATCTATCGAGTAACTGTTATAACTATAGTCCCCAAGCTGATAAGAAATCTATGTGTAGGCTATCACATGTATTCAGCTACACGTGGTCATCAATACAATCATAAGAATATTTATGAAATAAATTGTCGAATTATTATGAACTAAAAGAACATAGCCGATCTGCCAAATAGAATCAGTCAAAGGTTTCACTAATTTAAACATATACAGACCTACGTGTAGGCAAGATGGCTATCGATTGTTTATCACCAAGACCAATCAAAAATCAAAACGTAGTGTTTTAGTTTGAATAAGTCAAAACTGCCTTTACTATCATAAGCATATTCTCAACTAAACCATCCACTAGTTGATATCTTCAGTTTAAAAATCATTAATTAAAATATACTGATCAGTACCCTTACTTGATCTAGTCTTTGGTAAAATTAGTGATGGCTTAACCATCGGAAATGTTATTTGTCTAAATACAATATCAAACAACATTATCTTAATTGTGAAACAAAACTTAATTTATATTATTTTGTTCAAATGATAATTATCAATAGGAGAAAACTACCGGCTAAATATCTCCTGCTGATTACTCCCTACTGGTTAACACATGACATAAGCAATCTGAGTAGTATGGGGTCAAACAGTTGTAAATGCCGATCATTAATTTACAGTAAATTCTGTGATTTTATACGTAAGAATGAATCGAAAAAGACCCTTTTTTAATTGTGAAAAACTTTGTAATGAGAGGTGGGGTTTCATGATTTTATAAACAAATTTTCGATTGTTAAAATAGAAAAAGCACGCTGATTGATAAATGTATGAAATGACATGAAGTCTCTGAGTGATATTTGTTCACAATACCGTATAGTTAATCCAAGCTGATGGGGCTATGATTTACGGACGGCCTTTAAGGGCCAATGAAGTGACTTCGAGACAACTCAACTACTTACTAGGGTTAAATGAAGGTCATAAATTAGTATGAAGAATTAAGATATTACCGTTTAGAGTTTAAAGTTACGGTTGGGAACTAGAGTAAGCGTTCTCACCACAAACTGACATCAGCTACAATGCCAAAATGCTATGTAACTATAACGATGAACGAGTGTTGCGCCAAAATCCAAGACTTGCTAACCTTAATTTCATTGGTTATCACCCGAGAAATTATCTATGAATACGATTGTACAGCTTAAGAAAGTGATATCGAATGCATATTTTCAGAAAACGGTTAGTACCAGCTTTGCAGAAAACACATGACCTGCGATTCAGGTTCTGTTTTAAGAACTATTGAACTATTTTGAGTGCATTTTTGTGTATACTCAAGTAATAATGGTATGAATGTATTGAAGAATTATTGTTAGAAATGATTGGACAGTTATTACAATTGATACGAAATGACCATATCTTTGAAGAGAACTATAATCTTTATCTCAAAATATCAATTGATGACGAAATTCTGTTTATTTTGGATCTTTTCAAATTTTCTAATTACTCATGAAACCAGTGAGTTCTAGCAAGTTATATGTAATTAATAACCGCAGTTAAAGTTAGTAGTGAGAACGGAACTAATCATCTAACTATTATTTCATTGGTGGATAATCAGTGCCGTTATGTAATAACAAATTATACTGCTAAGGATTACTTGGTAAACAAATCTGACATAAAGTAATGGTATTGATCCACAGCAAATAAATACATTACAAACAAACTCCTTCCAAGATACAATATTTATAAAGAAGTCGATTGATACCTATTCAGTATTTCATTACTACCGATGAGAAAGGTGGTCAAGGGTTGACCCTGTCACTATGATTCGTATTTTAGTACTTATAAAGCTATGTCATAACATTTATCACTAAAAATACAATTTATATTGAGTAGAATAAAGTTGTATTAAATTTTTTTATTCCGTTTCAATCAGTTATTTTATCAAAATTAGTGTCTCTTAATATTCAGACTCGCTCATTTTAGAGAGGTTAATTCCGATAAAGTTTTCATTGATTTTGAAAATGATAGCACTAAAGAAATGACTTAATTCACAAGACCATTATTTATTTATCGAAAGATTACACTTAATCGTTTACTCACTTTGGTATTTGAGTTTTTTTCTCTTAAAAACAAACAAATACTACTTACATGTTTACATCAATTATTCATACAGTGAATGGAAGATAACAATTGTATTCTAAGTTAACAGTTACCGATATTCTTCAATAATTTGTGTAGACAGAAAATTGGAACATAACTGTTTGTTGAAACGGTAATATTATAAATTTATATTTCATTGAATATTTCACGTTACATTTTGTTTTAATTGAATAATGATTTCTTTTCTTTTTTTACATTTTAGATGCAACTGTATACGCTCAGTTAGTATTCAGATCATTTGATCAAGATCGTAATGGGACTTTAACATTTGAAGTAAGTTAAGTTCAATAAAACAATTTGTGAATTAATTATAAACGACTCATAAATAGCTAGTAAATTCATTGTTTAATCCCAAGATTGAAACTATTAATAGTAACATGGGTTTGTAATATCTCTTTGTTAACTAACATCCAGGATTTCTGTCTCTCAGTAGCTGATGATATTTAGACATTCTGAGTACATTACCTGACGAGTCACATATCCAACTGTTACCAATAATCTGAACATCCTTAAACTTATTAACATAGGTAGTAAGGAGCTCCGATAGTGTCATTAAAAACGTTATAGCTTCCGTTCATTATTTGATACAATTACATAAGCGACTATTTCTGACCCTCAAATATTTCTTTACATTACAAAACAATCAATTTCAAAAACTTTGAAAATTCCTATTGTTCAAGTTAGAAAGACATATAAGTGAACAAATATTGATTTTAGTTAAACCTTCATGATGCTTCTTTCTAAAATTATGTAATATTGGTTTCCAAAAATTAAAATGATTAAGTTATATCAGATAATTTATGATCCGTTGATAACAACTAAATGGATTACGTAATTAAATTTCAAAACCTTGGTAGCCATAAAAATATAAATGGGGAAACATGGAAAAGCTATAGATTAATCCAGTCGAAGAAATAGAACTGTTAAGTATAAATTTATTGGAAATTCATTGTCATCGATCCCTCCTAAAATGCTTTATTTGATTTATTATTGGCATAAACTAGAGTAACACCTCACAACAATTTCACTGTAAAGAAGAATGATCACTAAACTGTTACGCTTTAAATATCAGAAGCCAAGGTAGACTAAATGCTCATTTAACTAGTTATGATTATAACTCAAATGTATCTTACACAATTATTTACGCCTGTTACCTCTTGTGGAGTAGCATAGACAGTTCACCAGCATTCCTCATCCAACTCTGTCCTCGACAATCCTTTCCAGTTCTTATTCATCATTTTCATGTCTGCTTCTAATTATCAACGTAACGTCTTCCTTAATCTTCCTCTTTTTCACTTCCCTTCAGGATTCCAAGTTAGCGCTTGCTTAGTAATGTAGTCTGACGATTTTCCAAATGTATACCACATCCATCTACAGCATCTTTCCCCAGTTTCCTCTTAAACAGGAAGCTGGTTTGTTCTCTAACACAGTAGGTTGTTGCTGATAGTATCTGGCCAATGGATATTCAGTATCTTACGTAGACAATTGTTTATAAATACTTGTACTTCTTCGGTGATGGTTGTGGTAGTTCTCCAGCTTCCAGCTCCGCACAGTACAACTGTCTTGACGTTCGTACTGGAGATTCTGTTTCTCATATTGGTTGACAGTTGTTTTGAGTTCTATATGTTCTTCAAATGTAGGAATGAGGTCCTTACTTTGCCAATCCTTGCCTTCACGTCGGCACCGAATTGTCTCAGTTTATCGACGGTGCTGATCGGGTACGTGAAAGTGTCCACCTCCTCCACTGTTTCTCCATCAAGTGTGACTGGGTTGGTGTTCTCTGTGTTGTATTTCAGGATCTTGTGTTTCCTCTTGTATATGTTTGTCTTGACCTACATTTGTTGGTGTGTATGGGATAGAAGAGCTAAGTGATCTACGAAATCCAAATAGTATAGTTGCATCCACCCTGTTCATTATATTCTGTGCTTCCCGTCAGATGTGGAGGTCTTCATAATCCAGTCAACCACCAAAAGAAAGTGGAAGGGAGAGAGTAGGCAATGTTGTCTGACACCGGTCCTCACTTGGAATGCATCTATCAGCTATCCTTCATGAACAACTTAGCGGTGTAGTTCATCCTATGAATTTCGTACGATGTTGATAACTTTCTCAGGTACACCATAGTGTCGAACAAGGTTCCATGATGTTCTTTATCCACGCTGTCGAATGCCTTCTCATAATTATGGAAGTTGATATATAGTAACGTAGTGTCACGATTTGGTCTGTGCACAACGGATCCTTACGGAATTCAACCTTTTGATCTGGAAGCTGGGCGTCCATCGAATCTTCCATTCGGTCCGACAATACTCTGTTGTCTCTGTAGCTCTCACACTAATTGAGATTTCCTGTTTTTGGTATCTTGATGAGATATCCCTCTATCCAGTCTGTCTATGGCACTCAGTCTTCCTCCCAATACGTTCTGAATAGAATGTGGAGCATTTTTGCAGTTAATTCTATGTCTGAATTCAGTGCTATAGCTGGTATGTTGTCTGATCAAACTTCTGCTTCCCCACTCTTGATTTATCTGATGGCCAATCTGATTTCTTCGGTCGTTGGTGAGGTAACATCTACAGGAAGATTTGAGTGTACTTCTTCGATGACTGGTTGGTTCAGTAAGTCTTGTCTATCCAAGAGTGCTTCAAATTGTCCTGTTCAGCCTTTCCTCTGTTCCTGAATCTCAGTGATTGACTTGTCTTCCTTATTTTTAGCTGGTCACTTTGATTTATTAAATTTCCCTGCTAATTTCTTCGTTGTATTATAAAATGCATCATCGATTGAATAATAACATTCATTAAACTTTAATTTTCAAATTATTTCTGATATTTCCTAAATTGTGAGATGAATTGTTCAATTGTAAGTGTGTTTTCTCTTCATATTTTGAATGGACTATATATGGATATGAAACTACACGCGTATGTTAACTTGGGATTAGTTATATTAAATGAAGATTGACATTATTTACTCTAAAATTTGAAGAACGTGTCAGTTGGTGACTGCCCTTAATAAATCTATTTTCAAACCACCTTTATAGCTTGAAATAAAATGTGTGATTTTCTTATTAGTTATAATAATACCATAACTAAATTTTGATCCAATCGAAATGAATAGGTATTATCATTACAATAATTCTGTACTCTCATTGCAAATAGCAGAATAAGAGTTCTGTATTTTATACAACCCATATTAAAAAGAAAAAAATTTGTAACTAAGGCTTATTTACCAGGAATGTACTTAATCTTTATTATCAATCATATTGATCAGTTTTCAATGTGTACTTGTTTCAGTAGTTGAGGTCATGAGTCATTTAAAGCTAGAACGTCATGTAAAACCTGGAAGTACTAGACGGCCATTTCATTCTGTTGTGAGACTTCTCAGCAGTGCGCATCCATGATCCCGACTCGCGAGATTTGGACCGAGGACCTATCAGTCTCGCGCGCATGCGCTTAACTATTAGACCACTGAGCCGGTATCCAGCGGTGTTAATGTCTAACTTCAACCAATCCATGAAATTGAGCGACACATCTACAATTGTACCTCAGAACAGACCTGGTTGAACTTCATTGGTCACTGCTTCTCACTAGAACTTCAGTATATATCCCTCTTGAAGCCAATCTTATGGGTCACTGGTTCGAATCTCGCAGGACGGGCTCGTGGATACGCACTGCTGAGGTGTCCTACAATCGGAAGAAATTGCCGTTCAGTGCTTCCAGGTTTGTCATAGTGGTCTAGTTTCAGTTGACTCGTGATCTAAACTATTCAAATTGCGATAATATCCACAAAACCCCTTCTGATATACTTGTTTGTTTAGCAATATATTCAATGTTTATCGTGTTTAATGCATGGTACACAAAATGACAAGTTACGTTGGGCATTTCGCCTGTATGATATTAATGGTGATGGTTATGTGACTAAAGGTGAAATGCTTAAAGTTGTCAATGCAATTTATGATTTATTGGGAAGAAATACAGAACCGCCAATTAATGAGTCGACCACAGCTAATCATGTAGAAAGAGTATTTCAAGTGAGTTATATTTTATGTTTTTTTATGGCTAAATTTGTAAATGAATTATTTATTGTGTATTGAGTATTTGAAATGATGATGAAGCAGCTTAAATTTGATCGGTTTTTCTAAAACTGGATGAATCCTCAGGACTGGCGTCTAAACCTTTCAACTTATGCATCTCAATAAAATTAGCCTTAACTGATCATCGATGGATACTCTAGCTGTTTTGTAGCGTAATAATGGTAATGACTTTGCAAACACTATACTTCATTTCAAAACAATAGTCAGATAAAGTAAATGTCTGATTTTTAAATTTTATTTGTAGAATATTTAGTGGAATTGTTTAACATTATATGCGAATATGATTTCCTCTTCAAGATATAGGAAATTAAATTGTAGGTTGACATCAAGTGCCCGGCTAATATGACTCCCTTCCACCCATTTCAAAAAAATTGTGGGGTGAGAATGAAAAGTTTAGGTATGGTTGATTGGTGGACTTGTTTTGCAAGTGTGTGCTCAAGTGATAATGAACAAACATTTTGTGTTACCTTTAATCATTTTGTAATTGGTCGTAAACTGTTCATCTTTGTAATCTGATTAGTTGAAATTGAAATCGTATCTAGAGCTGTGATTGGATGTCAGAATTTTCATTTCTTACATTTGAGATTTAACGATAATGAATAATTTTTTTCGTGTAATCTTAGTCTTGAAAAAAATTGAGACTTTTGAAGAAAAAGACACCAACTTAATTGCATTACCGTGCAATCCTACTGTTAGTGAATGTGTCTTGGGATAAATTTTTGTTTTCCGATCTACTTTACCTTGAATTGAAGTCGTTAGTTATCGGAACACGAATAATTATATGTATCTCAGTAAAAAAAAGTTTTTGGGAAAAAGCAACTGAAAACCGGTTTGAATATTTGATCATAGTGATTACTGAATGAGGTCGGTAGTCTAATATTTAATACCAAATTAACAAACAAATTATTACCGAAGTGTGTACATAGGTTTGTTTGTAACACATGGTGTGTTAATGGGAAAAAGAAGTCAACATATCAATAAATCATTATGTTAACTTACTGGCTGCAATATGTTTAATTCAGGTGAACCAACCATAGACCATGATTTAGTGAACTGACTTTCACAGTATATGAAAGTAGTAATAAATTTAACCGAAATAGGCACTTAATATTTAGTGAACGTTTATTTTGTAAATGGTCATTCATAATGAGAATTAGACAACGTTAGATTTAAATGTGGTTAATTTTAAAAGTCCATTGAAACGGTTTATTGTGTTCACTTGTAAATTATTTGTAGTTCTGTATTTTAAAATTAATTTTTTGGTCGTAATAAAAACTAGTGTGTGTTTAATCAGTCATGTGTGAATATTGTTAACCGCCGTAATATGAAACCTGAATTATCTAGACATTATGAATGTAACCGTTTTTGACAAGCATTTGAAATATCAGTTTCATGAAGTGTCAATGAACAAGCCTACGTCGTGTGACTGACTCAACAAAGATCTATCGACATTCAACATGTAAATATGAATAAGGTCAACTGTATCAATGCACATTTACAATGCTATTAGTATTATTTATTTTCCTTATGATTATTATTATTATTATGTCAATTGACAAGATTCAATTCTTGTACTATGTATTTCATTGACACAAAATTTTTTGCATTTTCAATTTTCCTAGAATGTTTAGTCACTTATTGTGACTGAACACTTTACTGCAAATCATCCCGACCTTTAGTGAATGACCTTTTTAATTTGTAAACATATATATCGTTACAGATGTAAACGTTAACCATTGTTAACATATTACATTGTCAAATTCATTAATGCCATGCTTTATTTTTGGACTTTATAAAATATTAAAATTATGGACTAATAACTGTATAGTGTGATGATGAAGTTAAGGAAAACGATTGTTTCCTAAATTATTTTTTATTTTTGAATATTTTAAGGGAATATTTAACTGGTACAATGAGATTGTACCAGTCATAAATAGTTGATGAGGTGTGCAAATGAAAACGGTGATATAATCAGTAGTTATGAATAACAATGGAGGCTTAGTTGACGATCAGACGTACTTCTTACGTACGCATAGTTCTGGTTTCAGGAAATTTTAATATAAAACAAGAATATGAAGTTCTTGTTTTTTGTATTCATGAAACGGATAATATTCTTATTTCTTTTTACACTTACTGTATGACCTTTTATCACATGAATCATTTCAATGATGATGGTTTCAACTTGTTTTCTAATGTCATTATTTTATTCTTAAATAAGTTAATTTTCTCAATTTCGTTTACTTCTCTATGAGGTTTAATCACATTCATCTTTGTAATTATCTTATTACATTCACTAATAAATGTCATCATAAATTTTTTGACCTAACGACAAAATTACGATTTTCACTCATTTAAAATATTCCTATTAAAATGTACTCAAAATGTACTTTTATTAGATAGTTTACAAATGTGTTACTAAAACATGAACGCTAATCACATTATTTTCAATATAAAATTACTAGATTAGTCTTCATTAGATGACAAAATCTTGTCTAAGTTTTCTTAACCTTTATATCTAATAAACGTTAGAAACAAGTTTACGAATACAAGAGCGATAATCGCTTTTCCACTAATAATCTCTAAGGGATATCTAAATTCATGAGACATTAATAAGTGCTTAATCACTTGACCTTTGCGGCGGAAAAGTAGTAGATAAAAAATAATGGAAATCAAATTGTGGGTGGCCCTGAAAAGGGCCTTTACTCGTTCTCGCGGTCGAACGTCATCACTATTAGTTTGTAATGGCGCCACAGATAGGACAGTGCACTGCTCGTACGTTCGGCGATGGGTCGTAGGCACAGAAGGTATGAAACATTGCTTCACATCTACAGAAAACCCAACCAACCGCATCACCGGTTTCACACGGAGGCTGCGCAAGATTACAGATGTCGCAGAGTCGATTCTCGTCATGCTCTTCTTCATTTTCGATGTCCCGTTCAGTTAACTCTTCGGAGTTGATAGAAATTACTTCCTCCTCATCGTTACTGAGCGTTTCATCCAAATCAACAGTTCCTCGTTGTATAAACGGCACTGCTACGTTAGTCGAGGTTCTTGAAAGGGTGTACGAATGCTGTTCTCCATGTAAGTTTACTGGCGTTGTTGGTAGTCTACCGTGAACTATGAAGTCATGAAGTGAACTGCATTGTTCCTCCGACATTCGCCTGATTAACGCTATCACCGCATTCTTCATGCTTGGCTGACTCAATTGCATTGGGAAATAATTTTCAACTGCAATATGAGTCAGATAACCATCATAGTGTAACCACCTGTCACAAATTGACTGTACGTTCACATCGGTGTTACTGTGTGTGCAGTAAGCCAATATGTGACGGCATGGTAATCCGTTTTCAATGAAGAATGGACACGAGCAACGGCTAGTGTCGACGTGTACGTAGTACGTCCCCGTGGCGTCCATAGCGGTGAATAAATCTTCCGTCAATGCAAACTGCGTTATAGGAATGCGAAGGTGTCGCTTCAGTAGTTGACAGGCAACTGGTGTCAGTCGTTCCTGAAGTCGACGTACTTCCGGCTCCTCACCAATACCGGCTTTCCCCCGACAATCCATCGAATATTTATGTAATCTTGCTTCCATCCAATATCCAGTACGAAGCAGCACATTGAAAATGGATCTGAGAACCGGTGTTTTTCGATTAAGGTGATACATCTTCAAGACTCGGTGGCTGGTCTCGACGAAGTTCGTATTATTCAGTTCAAAGAGAGTGGATGGCGGTCGAAAAGCAGTGGACCATTTGTGTTTCCGTGGTAGAAGGTGGTCTCTGACGTATCTGCCAAATGTTCCGTCCGACATTTCGATTAACGAAAGTACGTTGTTAAAACTACGAAATCATGTTATGTAGATTTTGATTTACCTTTCAACCGTTCGAGTGAACATGAGGCGAAAGAACAGTTGTACAATTTCTGATCGCACCCTCTACAATAACGGTTACTGGGTTAATGTTAATGAACGAAACACTTACCCTCTTTATCACATTCCGAACAAGGTGTACGCGACACAGAATATGGTGTGCATCCGGATACACCTGCGTAATAGCAGCAGCAATTGCAGGTGAATCATCGGTCACAATGCCTACCAGTTGTCGACTGTTGGTACACCGTTGGAAAAAGAAGAGGAATCGAGAAATCAAGGCCGACGTTTCGCGACTTAAAAAGGCAATGCACATGGGTATTGCCTTAAAATTCATATCCATGGCAACGACTTGATATAAATGGACGTTCTCGTTATTAGTTTTGTACGTCCCGTCAAAACCAATTACGTCACAAAAGTGACCGGCCAAATTCACTTGCTCAGCAGTCATGAAGAAGAAATACGATAGACAGTTCTCATCGTCCAATTCGTATTCGCAAAGCCCACCCAAGGATGTTATGTGAGCTTTCAATTTCCCGTAATCACCTATAGTGTACATTATAAATTGGCAAATTCCGTACCAGGAAGGTTCGCGTGTGAGAACACTTTGTACCGCATATTGCAGACATCTTGAGCGGTCAGACATTTCCCATAAGATTGGTAAGCAAAATTCTTTATGTGGAATGCAGCGGTACCGGAAATCAGCAGCGGTCTCACAGTTTCAAACTCCCCATCCGTTAACCTGCGCATCCATGAATTACCCTGGTACCTCAGGGAATTGCACTCGTGATTGTGATGTACATTCCCACGTACAACAGTCCAATAGCCGTCTATAATCTTACAAAACATAAATGCTGGACATTGGGTGTTCATAGAAGCCCTTCATTAAAAAAATTTATAAAACAATTTACCAAATTACCTCCTCCGTCTAATACGTTGTGACGAACCGCTAGATCTTATACGCCCATTTCGCCAACACACAAATTTAATGTAGGATTTTTGATCTCTGCCAATATGCGAATCTCTCACTACATAATGACTGTAAGTCGATCTTTCAAAATTTGTGATAGTGGTCTTTAACGCTTAAACCGATGGAAATGCAACCAGAAACAAGGTAGTCAAAAAGACTTCCTCCATTTCCGTTACGTGAGAAACACCAGCGCTTGTACTAGGCACGTTACTCTGCTCCATAATGACGATTGAGATTGTGCTTCGTCGACAAGTACTGATAATTTATAACAATTTTCAAGACATAACTAACCAATTAAATCTAATTTTTGGAACTAGCCATTCCATTGGACGAAACACGGGATGAAAAATATTGTAATTTGGGGTTGGAAAATTTTTTTTTAAAAAAAATGGCCGGTCGGACAATATTATTCTAAATTGTATGGTGGATAGATATTCGGCTAGCCACTGAAATAAGTGGTCAAATATTTGTACATACACCCTTCAAAATAACAAATAAAAAATCCAACACGAACGAAAGCTCAGTAAATTCATCTACAATCACTCACATACAAACCTAATCGTTAACTTAGCTCAATAAGTCGGGTAGAGATTATAGTCTTATTTTGCTAACATACAGAAAAATCTGAGTCCACGTAATAAATTAAAGTTTTATAATTTAGCAAACTAATTTTTGACTGTTAAAATGACAGGATAGAATGATGATCATTAGATGATTATCACTGATCGAGGAATGTGTGTTAACAGGACTGAAGTATTGAATCATGATACGGGATGATTTGAAATTAAGATAAGATCACAACCTAGAAGAATAGGTTTTCCATGCAATAGAATGATAAGCACACGAACAAAATGGTGAGATGAAAAAATAGTCAAAAACTATGGAAAGTTGGAGAAAAATATCATGTAAGTCACTTACTCTTCAGCTAATTAAGGTCTAACTATCAGACCTAATTCTTGCCCATCGTATCAGTCCTATCGATAAGTGAGTGTAAACTTTATGAGGTTCTTCGTGTTGTTGCACTATCTATCATTGTTAGTATCGTTATTGACTGAAGAACAAGATAAACCAGTTTAATAAACAGCCATTAAGCAACAATAATTTGTCAGCTTTAGCCTTCACGTGACAGGTTTATGTTACGTGGTAACAGCTATTCATAACTAACTAGGAACTAATATAGCTGAAGTCTCCACGACAAAACACATCAAGGTGATGTTAACCGACAAGTAGGAAATTAAGTTCCCAATTGTAAAAAGAATAAATAACGATAAAAAATGTGATATTTACTGATTCTGCTTATATGTTCAAAAAAACTCAGTGATGTGCATTGTACGTGTCTTCGTTTTTTTAAATTGTTTTATGACTACAGATAACGTGACTTAACGAATTACTAACTTTGAATCAATGCAAACTATGAAGGCAACTAAAGTATCACTGTGCTTTTCGCATGAAACGAAATTAACATAAAATTGAAGATTCTACTTTCAAAAGAGACTAATTAAGAATTACATGTCTACTTTTGATCATTAAAACTCTAAGTTTTCTATGAAAAAGTATCAAAACTTTTCATTCTAAATCTTTTAGTGGTTAACTACCAGTGAACTAAATTATAAATTGTACACATTTTATATCGCCAATCAATGAGATATTTGTACACTATAGAAACAAAAAATTCAATTTCTTTAGAGAAAATTTTAAAGTTCACTTTTTATATAAGCAAAGATGAATGGTGGCTAGCAGAGGAATCCAGGATGCGCGTTTCGTTATATTTTGGACTCGTCAGCTGAATGTACCTGCATCTTAGAGTTGAGGTTTACTGTGGGATGCAGGTATATGCAGCTGACGAGTCTCAAATAGCACGAGACGTTCGTCCAGGATTCCAATACTAGGCACCATCCATCTTTACTCATAAAGTTTGTGACTTAAGGCAATATCGAGGCAATCCGCAAAGGATGCACATATTCAAACAAGAGACTGATCAATTTCAGTCCTTAACAACAATTAGAAAATACAAGCAAACAATATGAAGTGAATTTCATTTTTTATAGTTAAATTACGAATATTTCGGTTTTAAAATCGACTGTTAGTTTGATGAAAGCTTTACTCTTACCAGAATATTCATTGTTCAAAGATTGTTGGCATCGAAATCAAAAATACGCATATAATACAATAAAAGGATTTCATAAAAAGAGTTAATATCAAAGTATTTTGTGAACAAATAATGCCACGTGATTTAACGACATTAATTCAGTAATTTGTTTCAACTTTCTAAGAGTAGAATACATGAAGAAACTAAAAATTGGAAGGAAAAAGGAGATACCATGATAGCTAAAATAATGAGTTAAGTATTGAAACCCTAATATCATAAAGATGAATGATTCGTTACAGGATTGAAACATTACCGGTTGTGAAACATAAAAATAAAATAGTTGCATGTATCTTACAATACTGTTTGTTTAAATAGTATATTGCAAAATGCTAAAATAGAAAAAAACTTA